AGTCCTTCTTAGCTCTCTTATCCGACGGCTGCATCACATGACCTGTGACCTTCAGGTTGCCATAGACGACCAGCGCCTCGTCGGGTCTCTCTGTGTTTATTCCGACTTTTCCCTGCAATGATGCAATACACAAGCATGTCAATTATCAAAATAACAGATTTTACATACATTTACCGTTTGTCATTTTAAGAACATTTAATCTCATTTGAAGTAATGTATGAATACATACTGGTACAATTATTTGTTTTGTTTTCATACATCTTTCAAAAGATTGTTTCCATATTTGTGACAATTATTATGCATATATTTGTAAAACAAACTATTAATGTACCATATTAATTAAGTTTTCTAATAAATACCCCCAAAAATACAAGAAATACAATCAAAGAATTAGTCCTAAAACAATCTCTGGTCATGATGCATATAATGTTTCTGATTCTGTCTCAACAGTATGGCATCACATGTAAGTCCACAGCTCAAATACGGATGCCAATGCATCTACAATGATTACGTTCAATCAATCAAAGATCCTGTGACCTTTAACATCTGGGCTCCATTTCACAAAACTTGTCATCAGTGACAAATGACAGTTCTTGTTATAAGCTACTAAAATCCTTGCTTCTGATTGGTTATCAGCAGATTTGTCACAGATTTTTGTCATTTGTCATTGAACAAATCCTTTGTGAAACGGGTACCTGGCCTCATGATACAAAATTATCTCAATTTAATATTTTCACGCTCATAAATATCTATGTAGGCCAAGTTCTGTTAATAATTGCCTAAATGCTTCAGAACTAATTGTAGGAACAAGATGTTTTCTGAGTCTTCTAAATCATTATGACTCCATGAAAACTCTTTCAACCCATATCTAGATTTAAAGTTGTCATCGTCGTCTTACGAGGCATGCCTGACCCTCCAGGTTGTCACCTTCTTTCATAGAAATGTGTCCAAAATACTGCAACTTATTCTCATCTATCTCCTGACATAGGGTGAACTTTGCTCCCATTTGGTTCATGACAAAATCAATTAATTAATGAGCCTTCCAGGATATCCTTAGCATCCTCCTCCAACACCTCAAGATTTAAAGTAACATGTATAATTAAACACATGTCAGTTAAGATGTGCACATCAATTTTTTTGTTATAATGTTCTTAAAAATGGAAAGAAGTAACAAACATAATAAGCGGTATTTTGACTTACAGAATGGAAAATAGTGTCTTGGTTGGAGCCCTTCTGCCAAATGACATCAGAATCACTCTCAAACTGTCCTGGGTTCGAGGCCTGAAACAAAAAAATAATTACAGCCATAATATGATACATGTACAGGTAGTAACAGTAATAAAATAGTAATAATAAACCCTTTTCGCATTGTGAGATGACATCCCTATGCATGTCCAATTAGAAGCCTGAAGACGAGTAAAATTTCAGTGATAAAATGTGGTAACAGTAATAAAATGGTAATAATAAACCTTTTTCGCATAACAAAACACATCCCTATGCATTTCCAAACATTATATATCATTACCTTAAAGCCTATCTGCACTAGTTTGGCCAGGAGGGATTAGACCTCCCTGCGTGGTCACTAGCAGGTGGTTATTTCATCAAATCAGCTCTCAATTAACATAAGAAAAGGGGACCATGGGGGATCAACAGGTAACGCTTAGGCATTAGTGGCTATGTAGAGGGTGCAAGAACCTACAAGTAGTGAAGTCATGTAGCATATGTCGGAGCAACAGTAGATGAGAAGTCTTTGGCTGCGCTACGTACCCTGACGATGATCCTCTCTGAGACCTGCGACGCTACAAGGTATTTCTCACGCCAAAGCGAAAACAAATTCTAGTGATAATATGGTAGTTACAGTAATAAAATGGTAATAATGAACCCTCTTCACATTACGAGACAACATAACTACATGAGAAGTCTTTGCACGTACCCTGACAATTATCCTCTCTGAGACCTGCGACGCCACAAGGTACTTCTCACGCCCGCAGTGTGCGTGGATGGAGATCACCAGCATGAAGTAGCGCTGGTCTGGATTGGGCTTCCCCTTCTTGCGCATGTTATTGGATGTGGTCTCGCTGAAGTGAAGACGCCCTATGGTGACCTTCACGACGTTGTCCGGATGGATGTCAAGTCTGAAAAGGAGAGAGGTGAAGGAGAGAGGTGTACAAGAGCATGAGTTTTTATAAAGTAGTATAGAATGGAACTTTTTAAAGGTACTTTGTCCCATTTGCAGGCCCAAAAAATGAAAAGATTAAATTCCAACGGCATTTGAAAGATAATACTAATACTCGTATGAGTTGTACCAACTGAAAGAGGAGGATCTAAGCTTTACAAATGTGGGTCATTTATTAATTGTGATTACGTTATGATAAAACATCAATAATTCTCGGTTTCATTTTTTCTGGGACGCACTGTATATATTAATGTTTGCACATAATTTGCGCCTGTATGATTGCTTACAGTAACAATTAAAAAGGACATCCAACCTCATAGAGCAAAACAAAATCACATCTTGGCATTCAATGATTAGGATTCATAATGCTGCTTTAGGAACAACAAAAAAGATAAATGGAAGTACAGAGAGAGAGAGAAAGTGAAAAATAAGATGGACAGAGAGGAAGAGAGAGTGAGAACGAGAAATGGGAAAATGCGGGGAAACCAACACAGATACTAAACCCAGGGCCCTGTCTTACAAAGAGTTGATATCAATCGCAACTATGTTCATCAGATATAGGAGATTGCAAACTTGCGATTGCTTATAGGACTTGCGATTGATTTGGATCAATCGCAACTCTTTGTAAGAAAGTGCCCAGGAAAGATAAGGTGTGTTCACACTTACTTGGCAGGTACGAACGGTTTCTTGCTCCGATCCGCCTGGGACTGTTCCACTCTGATATAAGAGTTCATGGCTTCCACCTTGATGCCGTTGATATGAATGCAGATACTGTCGACAGCCTTGGTACCGGACTCGGTCTGGACCAACTGAGGAATGCCGCTGATGCATAGATGTGCCGTAATCTGAAAAAGAGCAGACGAATCGGGTTATATGTAGTTTGGGACAGGAAACTTTCAATGGTTGCCATTTGGTTAGGGGGATTTATGAAATTCCCTGTTATTTTAAAAGATTAAGTTGGGTTCAGGGCCCCGTCTTACAAAGAGTTGATATCAATCGCAACTATGCACATAAGAGATGGGAGACTGAAAACTTGCAATCGGTTGGAGGACTAGCAATTGATTTTGATCCCTCACTTTCTCTCCCTCTCTCTTTCCCTTCCTCCCTATGTGGTCTCTGTAGACAGGTGGTCTTTCTATACAGGTGGTCCCTAAAGCAGGTTTGACAGTATCAGTAGCGAGGTTCTAACCTGGAAGTGGTTCTTCTTTTGACAAACGAAGGAATCATCGGACGCTGAGACATTGAAGCCTTTATCCGCCTCTACTTTGTAGTTCAAGATGGGTCTGCAAAGCAAAGAAAAACAGGAAACCATCATATACCAATGAGTCGAAACAGATATCAAGACATTTAAAAAAGAAATATTTTACAAGTGATTGTATGAGACGACTTTGGGTAACATTGTTACACTAATCAAATTAATCAACGATTAAAGATAAACTCCAGTACTGGTAAAAAAAAAAAAAAAAATTCTCACAGAATCAAACGAAACTTACACTGAATGTTCAAGATTACGAATAAATGACATGTGCCAAACAATTTTGGAAGAAAATGTATACTGGCTGAGTAATGAGCATAGAAAGACAAGGAAATCAAGGTACAATGTACATGTAGTACTAGCCCCGACACCATGTGTGTTGTCCCATATATAGCTTTCTATGTGAGTGCTTGTTACTTTACCAAGACTCGGTCAAATTTATTATGATTTTGATGACTCCAGAACCTTGCAGTGCACACCAATATTTACATGCTACATGATCAACTGTTTCTGATCCTTTCCACACCTTTTCTTTCACAATGAAATCGCATTACCAGTACTAAAGTTTATCTTTAACCTCAAACCCACCAAAATCAACTTGAGAACCCCCCCCCCCCCCCCCTCCTTTATTAGTAATTCTATAATTCTTTAGAAGTTATATAATTGTTGCTTACAATTCCTGCCCATTTGCATCCAAGAGTGTGTGCCATTTATTAGACTGGTACGGTTGCCACTTCAAGAATTGGTAGACGGTGTCTGTGTACGGCATCCCGTCGCCGGAGGGCTGGTCGTACATTCCGTATTCGCAGTCCATGTCTGTATTAAAAGGTCAAAAGTCAACAAAGGTTATGGAAGGGATTACAAGGTATACCTTAGAGGTGATAGTGAGAGTTTAAAAACCAATAATTTTAAGTGACAGTTAAAAAAAAATGTTTGTAGAAATCTGAGCGCTTGCGCAAGGCGTTCAAGCAAGTCATGAAAAAACGGCACCTCACTATCCTAATTTTCAACCAGATTTACATCGATCTCAGGGACTACGGTACCGGAAATCTCCGTGTATAAGACACACCCCTATTTGGGGGGCAATTTTTTTTTCTTTCTGTACCTGTGTACAAGACACACCCCCAACTTTTTTTTTTCTGCGGGAAAAAGGTGCGTCTTATACACAGAGATTTAACGGTATACATTTTGGGAAGAAAGAAATCATGATAACAACAAAAATTAAATGTACACAAAAATCAACAACAAAAATCAGGAAACCGATTCAAATCAGGAAATAATCTGGATATATCAAAGAGAATTTCTGGAGTTTACCAGTATTTATATTTATGTTAAAGGTAAAGACCAGTTATGGTCATGCGATTGCATTGTGAAAGAAACGTTGTGGAATCGATCAGAAAAGGTTGATCATCTAGCATCTAGCATCTGCAAGGTTCTGGAATCATCAACATGATAAGAAATTTGGCCCATTCTTCGTAAAGTTACAAGCACTATACACAGAAAGATGTATATGGGACTACCCTATATCTCTCACAGACCATGACAGAAACAAATTTACCAAATATATGAATTAGTAGGCGGTTTCCCGGCAAATTTTTTATCATCATGTATTAGTCAAAACATATTCTTTCACATGATTGGTAATAAGAGCTTCCGTTTCATTTTTTGAAATTGGGGCGTTTCCAATACTGGTCTTTACCTTTAAATGCATATTTCATCATTTTCAAATACATAGTTTTTCATTGTCTGCATTTCATTGTAAAATTTTTCACAAGTCATCCACTGAACTTGTGAAGAAACAATAATAACACAGTCAATCTTCAATCATCATTGATATATATACATTTGTGTAAACCAGAGTAAACAATGGGTGCACACAACTGGTAAATGTTTAACTTGGTAACACTAAAATGGATAAAATCGATGAGCCAAATGATAAGAGAACTCACTTGGATTCACATTGTAGTCACCGTCTATGGAGTGAGGGCATGAGATTTGATCAACTAAACAAACAAAAACACAAAACCAAAAGAGCATGCATGAACTCAAAATCATAAGTGAATAATAAATGAAAAAGTACACATCTATTAAAGATAAAGGTGAGTTCTGGTCATCTGATTGCATTTTGAAAGAAAAGGTGTGGAATGGATCAGAAAAAGTTAATCGTGTAGCATGTAAGTATTGGCGTGTACTGCAAAGGTATGGAATCATCAAAATCATAATAAATTTGGCCCAGTCTTGGTAAAGTAACAAGCACTGTACACAGAAAGATGTATATGGGACTATACAAATGGTATCGGGGCTACCAACCTTGATTTCCTTATCTTTCTATGCTCATTACTCAACCAGTATACATTTTCTACAAAAATTGTAGAATTGGCAAATGACACTTACATGTATTTGTAGTCTTGAACTTTCCGTGTAAGTTTCGTTTGATTCTGTGAGAATTAATTTTCTTTTTTTCCCTCAGAACTCACCTTTATCTTTAAAATAGGAATAATTCATGCAATATGTGTACATAGTATGTCATGCATTTGTCCATGCCCTTTCAGCCATAGTATTTGATCAACTACAAGGATAAAATCACAAGAGCATGCATTAATTTAAAAAAAATGAATCATAAAGGATACATTAACTGGGTTAGTATAAACACACCAGTGTGTGCTGTATCAAATTCTTACCCGTTTCCTGCTCAGCTTGCATGAGTTTATTGAGCATGTTCTGATTAACAGAGTTTTACATTAACTGGTCAGTATGAATTGAACACACCAGTGTGTCCTGTATTAATTCCTTACCAGGTTCCTGTTTGACTTGCATGAGTTTATTGAGCATGTTCTGGTTCACGGTGTTGTTTGGTGATAGAGAATGTTTCCTCTTCTTAGGCACATGTCCAATAAAGCTGCGAAGAGGAGGAAAAAAAACAAAAGCAAAGAGAATATTAATATCCCTACTAATGTCATACATGTAATGCAAGCCATTTAACAGCCAAATCTCGTACATGGCATAAACATAGATCTTTATAGACTAAAGAAACCTCGCTTTTCTTGTCGTTACTGAAAATATGAAGAAGAAAAAAGTGGCACTGTGATTGAACATCTATCTCAAAAATATGAAACAAATAATGTTTAATCATTAACATTTGAGACATCTAAAAAGCACAATGTGTCGATGAAGTGTTAGATAGTCATCCACTATCAAACGCCATTACTCTCAATCAATAAAAATGAAAATCTTGATATTCTACCTTTCTTTTCTTGTGAGCGCGTTATTTATCGTTTCCGTCATCGGAACCTGTGATAGACTAGTTGGCGGTGCAACGGTTGAGTTTGCAAGAAAGTTCATGAATTGCTGAGGAACCGACTGTGGCGGCACGTTGGCCGACACCGAGGATATCCCCCCTGAGCTTGCCACCTGCGCCTGGTTGCACAATGGCACCGACCCCTGCAGCACTGCTCCTGAGGGTACCGGGAGGTTGTTCTGCTGTACTGGTACCACCGGCACTGTGGTTGGCTGTGGGTTGTGGGTACGGGTCACCATCGGGATGGATACAGGAAGGGAGTGCTGGCGCTGGTGACCGACGCCGGCGGTGAGTAGGGTTCTGTTTGGCAACGGGAGATCTGAGTTGTGATTGATGGGCTGCTGCTGGGCCATGCCCTGCTGGGGGGCCACACCCATATTGAGGCCCAGCTGGTAGGCGAGGTGAGGGTCTTGCATGGCGTCTGGAGGTGAGTACGGCTCGGAGCTGGAGTCTGGAGGCGAGTCTGGCAGGTGACTGTACAACAACATGAATCAGAAGAAGATAATGATCATAAGAGGGGAGTCCATTTTGATAGTGATACTGAGAATGTTTTTAAGCCCCACTGTACTACTTGTACATGTACATGTACTTGCTCCCTCTGTATAGAAAACAACGCCTAAGCGGTAACAGTTGGTCCCCGTGATCCACTCTTACTTATAAATAATTGAGAGCTGATTTGATGAGATAACCACCTTTCAGTGACCATGCACGGAGGTCCAAACCCTCCTGGCCAACTAGTGCAGAGGGGCTTTAAAGAACACTCATAAACTGCCTTATCTACATATACATGTAACAGCAGCACTCAAAGAATATTCACCCTTTAGTACTGGAATCAATTTACCTTACCTTACTGAAACCTGACCCAAGTGTAGCATCTGTAAATTAATGCCTTGCCAAAGGATGTTAGTGCTGTGACAGGGACTTGAACCCTGTGGCCCACAATCCACAGTCCTGTGACTGAACCACCAGCCACAACACATCCAATTGCAAGTATGATACGTACAGCTTTATATTGTACATGAAGCCGACTCTCACAGCATCAAATCATAAACCCTGCTTTACAAATCAAGTAGACTCAATGAGCTTAAAGAGCTTCTCTGGAGGACCTCCTTTAAGCCTATCTGCATTAGTTTGGCCGGGGGAGATTAGACCTCCATGCAAGGTCACTGACTGGTGATTATCTCATCAAATCAGCTCTCAATCAACTTTTAAAAAAGCGGACCATGGGGGACCAACGGGTACCGCTAGGGCATTGTTTGCTATATAGAGGGCGCAAGTAGCTGCAAGTACAAGTCGTGCAGTCTCGCATTAATTACCTGAGAGGGACAGATAGTCCCAAGCCAAGAGGGTTCTCCTCATCGGTGAACCCCAGGTTGTCAAAGTTCAGAAGGCCTCCTATATGCTGGGGTTGGGATTTGGGGTTGAAGATGGGGATCTGGTCGCCCCCGCCCCCAACCAGGGCGGGGCCCCTAAGTGACCCATCGTTGTTCAAATCTGACAACAATCTGTTTCAATAGGAGAAAGAGAAAAAAACACTAAATATCATAGCACAGTTAAACTACATCTTAGAGAATGATGAGTTCCGGTAAAGATTAATTTCTGAGATTGGTCTGTTTGTCATTCTTTTTAGCATTTGTTCATTGTTTTCCTTTTTGCTTTTAACTATTAAAGAGCATTTATTTCCTGTTACAATCCAATGAATTGGAATTCAAGTACATGTAGGTACAGTATGCACACTGAATACACTGTACATGTGTAGAAATTGTGCAATATTAATATACAGTTATTATTTTATCTTTCATATCATGATAGAATGCCCTCATATTTAAAACATAGCTGAAAAAGTTTGGACCAATCCTTTTTAAATGTTCAAAAGTTTTACATAATAGTGGTCATAAACTGACTGACTTGCCTAAATTAAACAACATCTTGATACAATGTACATGTACAAATTTAGTTCAACAAACATTTTATTTACATAAATCATGATAAATGTACAGTAGTTGCATAAAAACTAACATTCCCAAGGAATAGGATAGGACGAAAACTTGAAACAGCACATTAAGTCAAAGCATCTACGCTGCTCATCAACTGATGTTACTTTCTTGTTTACATAATGATGCATCTTTGACATGGAAATAAATCATCAATAAATGTACATTAAAATTAGATTTACTTTGAAAAATATTTACAGGCCTACAATTCATTTCAAAACATTTCAAAACATCTGACTGAACATTTCAAAATAAAGCAAACTGGTCTAAATTTATAAAGTCATATTATCTACATGTAAAATATAGGTGTAGAATGATCTAACACAAGTTTTAAAAATCAATTATTCAAATAGAATGACATTAAATGATATAGAATACACTTTCCTGTATGAATTAATATCTTATTTATTATTCTTTCATGAAATGTAAACTGTAGTGGTACTCACAAACTAGCATCAGGTTCTGCAAGAAGATTTTCAAGCTGATCCAAATCTATCCCTTGATCTACAAGTATTAAGAAAAAAGTACATTTGTTTTAAAAAATACATGTAACAACAAAACTTACAGAAATTTATGGTTACTAGACTGCAGATTGTTAATAATGGGTTGAAATCAAATCTACATACAACTGTACTGTACATGTAAATTCTCTTTCAATTTCACATTCGTTGTATTTCATTCGCTAGGAAGACAAATGAGTATGAGAAATACATGTACATGTACATGTATATCTATGACAACAAATAATACAAAGAAAATAAATTTACGATTTAAATGTGATTAGATTAGTATACAAAGGTGCACACACAGAGATTTTGAAATCGGTCAAGTGAATAAAACAAAATATGATATTTTGAAACCAGAGTGATACGAATTTGCTTACATGTACCTTCCATGTTTGATGATCATTACTGAAGATGCAATTAACAAAATCACTGATCTCTTACAAGAGTTCTAAATTTTGTTCCAGCTGAAATTCCAAAAATATACTTTATGATAATAGCGTTTAGTGTAAAAAGGCGAGCGCAGCTCAGGGAGTTTGCTAAATTTATGCATGTATGAGAAGAAAGAAGAATCCATGCATAAGCGAACTCCGAGGCCAATTACGTGCAATGTTCGTCGGGTGTGGGAAGGGGTAATTTTCAACGCATTTGAGGGTTTAGGGCCTATTCACACAGGGGCATGGGTACCGTGCTTGTGAAGGCTTGGTGATATCAATATCATATTTCATATTAATTAATTATCACCAAGCCCTCGAGGCTACTTATAGTTAAACTTAAAAGAAATTGACATAACTTTCTTGCTTGTCCATTATTTACAATATTTTTGTTTGCTTTATATTCTGCCATTAACAATATCAAAATAAATAAATGTCACGTTTAGGTTTAGACAGAAATAACCGTCTGATATGGGTCATTTCTTTAATAAAACTGACATTTGTTGACATTCCCCATATGTATAGAGGCGGTCAGAGGAGCCAGATGCAATCTCAGCGGAACCACCGTCGATATCAGAGACTGAAGCTTTCGGCCTAGTTTAGCCTAGTTTAGTATACCATTCATAATAAATGATTGCATTGTCTGTGAGAGTGTTACTGTTAATGTTCCTGTATGTTAGTGTTTAATTTGTTACTGTTAGTAGATCTAGATCTACTGTCAATACTGTCAGCAAGGAGCTGCGATTCGAATTACTGCAGCTGCAACAAGCTAGTGCCCACAACAGTGGTGACTTTCTTTCATTTTTTCATTCTTCGATCAGTCTCTCAGTCTCAGACGCAGGCCCAAGAAAGAGACAAGATCAGAGCTGCTCTAGTCTTAGACTTTGTGTTAATTTTGCCTTAGCACTAGCAGGCCACTGCCTGGCACTGGCGTACAAACACCTGTGAATACATGATTAGATTAGTGATTGCATTGTTTGCAGAGCTACAAATACAATAATTGTATGACTAGACCCTATGAATGATATGATACATGCACGCAAACAGACACTGCACTGCACTGTCTACGCACACACATACACACAAGTACACTCATCAACAACAAACTATACCACCACCCGATCACGGCAAGGAAACACTTCTAAAACTCACTTAAAATTTGTTGAATCGCTTCACTTTCTCCTAAAACATCCATGTAAGATTCTCTTAGAGTCACGATAATTCCGATAATGATACCATCCCCGTAGAAATTGCCGAATCACGCCGATTACAGTCACTGTCTTCCATAACAAATTACAGATACCAAGAACTTTACTCTACTGACGACCATCTTGATTTCTATTTCTGATCCAAAATTACCATATTTTTAATTTGCATAATTGATCTGGAGCTGATTTGTAAGTTGTAGCTTGAGCAAGCGAAAATTATGATTTTTGTGTCCTCTGATCTTTCCGAAATAATTTTGCATATCTTTGTTGATAAAAATCGGCTTTCTTTGAGGAAAATTTAATTAAGAAACACCTCTTAGAGGAAGATTATGCAAATGAGACACCTGTTGAACGATTGCTGACGTCATAATTGATTGGGAAGATTTTTCTTCGCGATAGCGCCAACTGGTGTCTAAACATATGAGCCATTGATCTATTAATAGATCGATTTCTAAGATGCAGGCTGTTGGCGGGGGAAACAAAAATGCAGACATCACTTGAAGGAATAAGTCAATGGGTGTACCATAGGAGTTAAGAAGGGGGAGGGGGGGGGGGGTTAAGTTATACAAATTATAATTTTGTTTTTCTCCATAGTAGCCCTCCAATTTTTCGTTGACACTGCTACTAAACAGCTGTTTTCCAACATATTAATAGAGGTGTTTGGTATCAGGCCTATTGGTCGGAGCAGTCATTTCGTGAAAAATAGGCATGAACCACCCTCCCACTATAATTGCAACATTAAAACTTTCAACTGTTATAGTATCATATGCACCTACAAGTACAAATTTCTGAGAAATCCTATTGGTGGAAATCCCTTATGAAAAAAGTAGGCCTACCATGGTAACCATGGTTCTTTGTCCAAATTACCATCCACCCAGGGATATGTGATCCACCATTGGAACATTGAAAAACACCGCAAATCAGTGATAAGTATTTTCCATTTTCCATAAGCTCTAGCAGAGCCAATTATACACATAGATTGGCCAACTTGGCACGTACACGCTGATGTACATTATTTGCTTTGTGCTTTACTAACAAAGCGACATTCCCTGAAATGGTCCAACTCTTACATAATCTTTGTTTACACGGCTCTGCTCAATAATAGTCTCCTTTTATAGAGGGAAACTTCTCAATAATAATGTCCCTTTCTATAAAGGGACACTACTCAGTAACTTACAATTAGGGAGTTTACAGATACAATCTGCGCATGGGCAGATAAAGGTCATTCGTACCAAAAAGGTAAAACCCACAGAGATGAATACTGGATATGCGCTCATGAAAATTATGTAACATTATTCATTATTTTATGCACCAACGGTACATTCTATGATACGCAGGTGGAAGTATTCTTTTCAAGAGGGCAAACAAAAGGTATTCATGAAGCACATCTAGGACTGTGGCAGTTATTATTCCAAGATGCTCAAAGTGGAATTTCTCCATGTGTAAAAGATCTGTGGATATTTGGGGTCATTTGTACCATGTGCTATCTGTAAACTCCCTTATTAGGACGCCTTCTGATTAACGCAAGATAAATCACATTTGTTTTTAAAAGTATTACATTTTCCATGTAATGCTCAATTGAAAAAATAAATCGTGGGTTTATTCGGAAGAAAGAGAGAAACAAGTTTAGTGAAAAAGGGAGATGAAAAGAAAACAGATAGAAAGTCTGTGAGAGGGAGAAAGATTGAAAGAAAGAAAGTTTATATTTGGCAATACTCTTCTCCAAATGGTGCTAGGAAAATATGGTAATTTTAGTTTGATGAAAGATTTTGTACACGATGTAAAAGTGAAAGGATTGATTGCATCACCACCACTCTTACATGTAGACCCCGCAGAACCTTTTTTTCGAAGTGGTGTATTAACGATCAGGTAGAGCGAAGCGATCGAGCGTAAATTGGCATTATTGGGTCCAGGACTGCCCAGCGGGGGTCGAGGGACTGAGCCCCCGGAAGCTCAGAGTTATTAGGCTTTATTACGGTCAGATAAGCATATTTAGATACCTTATTTGTGACACTGGCAGGTCACTAATTGGTGGGGTCCGGGGGGCAGAGCCCCCGGAAGCTCAGAGGTTTTAGCTTTTTAATTACGGTCATGTGAGCATCCAGGGGCCGCCCTAGGGCCCTTGGTGGGGTCCAGGGGACAGAGCCCCCGGAAGCTCAGGGATTTTAGGTATTTAATTACAGTCACACGAGCATCCAGGGGCTCTAACATACTTTTTCAAAAAAGTGAGGGGAGATCGAACCCCCGAGCCCCGACATTCTGCAGGCACTGACATGAAGGCTTCTAAATAACTATATTTTTTCGCCCGACTGTAAATTTGGGAATTTGTAATTTAACACATAAAAAGGTATGATTTACAAAAAAAAATGAGAAAACCCCCAAATTTCATGTCATTTCAGCAACATTAGTAAATCACTGGTATCGAATTAGAAATACCAATCAGTACGCCACTGGTCAGGGGCTCGTGTCTTCTCACCTATACATAATAAAAAAAAATACACACGCTTTCCCATCCTCTCACAATATTTCCACGATATGCGCGTATCGCTATTATAAAAACCTCCATTGATAATCATAGGGGCATGCGGAATGTATATGCAATTTCTTTCCTGTCAACTTTCCTGTTCTTTAAATGGAATATAATTTGTATATGAGTCAATCCAGGTTTTCTTATTGTTATGTTCTTTTTGGTTAAAAAAATACAAACAGTCTTTACTCCTACTGCTTTTTTGTTGGGGGGGGGGGCGACTGCCCCCACTTCCGGCGCCTATGACTGCTTGTGCATAAATGAATAATGATTAGATAACTTTCATGAGCACCGTGTAATAAATATAAGGTATATAATTTGTACATCACTATGGGGTCTAAGTATACGGTGCACTTGCTAAACATGAATATGAGATTTCTCATTAACGAAGGAAAATGAACAAAAAGCATTACAACAAAAGGTGAAACGCATAAATAGACAAAGAAAGACAAGGCAAAAAAACAAAAACGTACGTGAGCTTAAGCTATCCCTTTTTTTTTCAATATCTCACTTGCTTCGTTTAATCGCCACTTGCTAACCACGCTATTTCCAGCCACTCATATATCTCAGAACATGCCATAATGATTATACATTTACATGATTACTTTTTGCAGGTTTATGTGGCTCTGGCACCGCAATGCTAGCCCCCCCCCCCCCCTCTCCCTCTTTTTCTCTTTCTCTTTCTCCCCTCTCTTTTCCTCCCCTCCCCTCTCTCTTTCTCACCCATCTATATCCCGTCTATTTTTTTCATCTTCTCTCCCTCCCTGTCTGTCTCTTGGTCTGTCTCTGTCTCTTTGTTTCTATATGTGTGTCTCTCTCCTCCTCCTCTCTCTCTCTCTCTCTCTCTCTGTCCCTCTCGCGCGCTCTCTCTCTCTCTCTCTCTCTCTCTTCCCAAAAATCATTTATCTTTTCCTCTTATTCAAGGGTACCAAGGAATGGCAAGGATGATCATCGCTCTCTAGATCCGCAAGTATATTTGAAACACAAAACATTATATTATTATAATGTTCGTGAGTCCGATTCTATCAATATTTAAGCGTCAAATTAACAACCCTCTCAGTTTTCCATTATGTTAGTTTGATGCGCTCATCTTTCATTGATGGGACCCCTAGTTATCACTGATTAATTGACCCACAATCATCACTGATTTATGATTAGGGCCACAAATTATTTCATTTTCTTGTATGGATTGAAACAACCGCAGGGAAGTAACGCCCCCTTTTCGAGATCATCATTTCACACTGGCTCATAATAAAAGTCACATGACAAGCGGCAGTGAGTAGTCGAGATCTCTGACTGTGAGTACTGCGTTAATCCCCTAACCGAGATTTTGTCCTTTTCCCCCAGACGTTTTTCATAATGCTAAATGTAGTCCTCGGTGTTCTGTTTATAAACTTCCAGATATTTCATTCCCTTTATTATACACAGAATATGTTAATTTGAGTTATTATGATGAGAAAGAATTGTATTTTGAAGAATTATTTGTATTGTTTTGATACTGAATGAAATCAAAATAAAATATTATGAACAAAAAATGTGTGGGGGTGTGTGTGTTTGCAATCTGTCTATATAGTCACTGGCGGAGGGGGTGTCGATCTATTTTCCAATCAGATTCGCTTTTTATCTCTGAAAAGCGCCCCCTTTATTTTGACACGTGCCAATTTTTCCTTTCTTGATTAATAAGTGCCCTTTTTGCTTCTGATAAACGACCCGTTTCCTTTTAAATAAGAGCCCCTTCCCCTTCCCATAAATTCCCCTTCTCATAAATGCTCCTTCACACATCTCTGATTAATTCCCCTATTAAAATCTAACAGGCACCCCTTTTTCAAGTTCGACAAGTGCCCATTTTCCTCTGTAATAACTTGCCCCTTTTCCATTCTCATAAGTGCCCCTTTTCAGGTGCGAGAAGTGCCCCTTTCACCTCTGATAATCGCCCTTTTAAAAAAATACTTTGACACGTGCTCCTCTTCTTTTGTAATAAATGTCCCTTTCCCTTTTGATAAGTGCCCCTTTTTCTCCCCTCCTTAACATGTGCCCCTATCTTAAAATGATTATGAGCAACCTTTACTCCAATTATCCCAAAAAGGTTGCTCGCTATGCTCGCTCCCATTACTAACGGATGTAATGATTATGAAACTTATTAAAGGACTTTTCAGTCTTTCAAGATGAAATTGTGCTAAAGAACCCGAGCACGGATTGCTTTTCATCTTAAGAAGATCAAATTTTTCGCAATGCGATTTTACAAATTTTAAGATATTTGCTCGCTCGCAAATGAATATTCAGACCATCAAGAGAGAGGAATGATAACATATTGTAATCATCCCTGATGATGTATAATATTAATCACAATCGAGGGGTATACATGTAAGCTATATATACCAATTACTAAAAATGTAATATCATCGCTTTGAGGTTTCCCTCAAGTTGTAGGTGCCCCCTTTTTTTCTCCAGAAAGTGCCCTTTTTTGTTAGTGCCCCCACACTTTGGGAGACGCTCCGTCACCCCTGACTGCATGGCTGCTAAAATCTGTTCAGTTTTCTTTTGTCGATTGGACTTTCCCACGTTCATGGGAATACGTATATATTTTTGAAAATGGGCGAAATAATCATGTCCACTTTTTACAAGTCCGACCTACTTTCAAATATTTTCTTTGTCAACCGAAGTTTATGTTATTTCTATTTTTTTCTTCTTCAAACGGGTAAAACACTGTGAATGGATAAGCTACATATAAAGCCTCTTCTCCCTCTTTGGAATTTCTTTGGAATTTTTTATCACAGAATCAATCTCTTTAAACAGTCACAAAAACAATAAGAGTTTTTTAAACAGGCTTTTACCCTCAAATCAGTACTCTTTTTAGTGTAAATTTTGAAAAAGTAAAATAAAACGTTGCGCTGCCCCACATTCTCTGAAATGCAAAGTAGCAAAGCCTTTAATTGATTTTTTTAAAAAGAGCGATATAATTTAGTGTTGGTAAATATTTCCTATAATTTGTCAGAGCCACTGCGTCTTTAATAATGCAATCTAGAGGCGGGTCCCGGGTGGTGGTAGTGGTGGTGGTGGTGGGGGGGGGGTGCAGAGGGGCACAGCCCCCAATATTTTCAAGCACCTCAAAAGTGCCCCTATAACGTAAGAAGAAACCCTTTTTTATATAGAAAAGGGCCCATTTTACTTTAAAAGTGCCCCTATTACTTTTCACCTATGATAAGTGCCCCTTTTATTTAAACACGTGCCCCTTTTCATTCGACAAGTTCCTATTTTCCTTTGCAATGAGTGTCCATTTTCCATTCTCGTAGGTGCCCTTTTAAATCTCTAGTTAGTGCCCCTTTTCAGGTACGAGAGGAACCCTTTTCACTTTTGATAAGTGCCCTACATTCAAATTTAAGAGATGCTCCTTTCAATTTGAAAAGCGCCACGTTTCCTTGTAAGAAGTGTCCGTACCCCTTTTGATAACACCCCCTTTTAAACATCTATAAACGCACCTTTTATTTTCACATGATTCTCTTTTCCTTTCCGATCTGGTCAGTGCCCCTTTTCAGGTGCGAGAAGTGTCCCTTTTCACATCTTATAATTTCCCTTTAACAATGAGACATGCCCCTTTTCCTTTTTAAAAAGTGACATATCCCCTTTACATAAATGCACCTTTTCACCTCTTATAAATGCCTCTATCAAAATCTAATGGGTGCCCAATTTTCGTCGACAAATGCCAATTTACCATTCTCATAAGTGCCTTTTTCATCCAGGCTGTTGAGTGCCTATTTTCAGGTATAAGAAGTGCCCCTTTGGCCTTTGTACTTTGACACGTGCTTCTTTTCTTTTCTAATAGGTGTCTTATCCCTTTTGATAAGAGTACCCTTTTCCTCTAATCAATAAACATGCCCCTATAATTTAAAGCGACTAGAGCAATTTCCCCCGAAGCTCGCTCGCTATGTACACTCACTCGCATTTATTGATGATATGATTATGTTATTTATCACAGCCTTTTCAGTCTTCCGTTATGAGAATATCCGGGAGAATATGCTTTTCCTCTCGTTATAAGATGTAATTTTTCTTATTATGATGTACATGTACATGAAGAGAAAAGCATCCCAGATAATGTAAATCACAATGTCATTTTTTTGTTGTTGTACCCCCCCCCCCCCCCACCCAATTTGGAAGACGCTTTGCCGCCCCCGATTCCATCCAGTTACTCTTCATGAAATTGCGGTTGCTGAAAGCCTGAAATATTTTCAAGGTTTCAGGAGAAAACTACCCTTCTCGATAAAAAGGTTTGCACAAAACGTCTACAATCTCGATTTTCGGCAGTGGTTAATAGTTTCGCTGCTCCCTTCGATTCAACAGAGTCAATGGAAATTCTCACGGAGTAACAAAATCGGGTAACGTCATCTTTCGCTCCGCCCTTCGGGTAATGGCGGCCATCTAACGTTTTTACTACATCTTATCAGCCTGACTATCCTCCTTGATTAATACATTGTCTGTGGTTCTATTCCAAGATCACTGTGATTTAAGCCATCTGAAGATTGTGAGTATTCATTTTCCGGAGCTTTGTTGAGGAATTTTTTTTCAGAAGTGGTTGAAAAACGGAGGGATTTGTGCCCTATACCGGACTTCCGCACACGTTACCTGTGTGTACACCGCTAGCACCCCATTGGAATAACATGACACCTGCGCTGCTCTCGCACGGAGCCATTGCCCGTGCCTGCACTGGTCGACTGCGGTGTCGGCCAAGTCGGTCAGCGGAGCGAGAGTGGGAGGGCTAGGCCTAGGGCCAGGCCAGGCTACGCCTACGGCGCGGCGAGTCTAGATGACCGGCCGTCGCTGTAAGCTGTCCGCTATACAAAGGCAGAGCCTAGCCTGGACCTGGCTGGGCTGTTGCCTTACCACAGTTGCAATGATTGAGCATCTTTGATTTGTTTGTGATTGACTTGAAGTTGAGGTTGATTCTTGTGGATGATGATGGAGAGAAATATCAATATCACAGAAATCAAAATCAAAATTAAAATGAATTGATGGGCAGTGTTTCATCAGTAGGGGCGCTGGTCCGAGAATGAGGAACATCCGCATAAACGAGGATCGTCTTCTTTAACGCGGACAGAGGCTTCCGCCAAAATACGCATTGTCCACATTTTCACTGACGATTCTGATTTCCGATCCCTGTGGTGGTGATGCAAAAAATGGATTCTGCAGTGAATTTCTAGATGCATTTCACATCGACTTATTACAGAGACTTTCACGTAATGAACGATAAATCCTCAGGAATACGGACAATCCACATAAGACGATAAACTGGGGGGTATTTAATTACGCGGAATCCGTTTGTTTACATTGCAAGCGCGCGGAATCGGGAACCTGCAGGGCGCCAAAGAAAAAAATGTGCGTGAAAATGTGGACGTTCCTTAATTTTTAGAACGCATTCAGTCTGCGTTTACGAGGATGTCCTCGTTTATGCGGACGATCATCATTAGACCAGCACGGCTACTGATAAACAGTGACAAATTATTACTAACGCAATTCATTAGAGATGCACAGCTGATTTGGGAGATTGTATTTCATAAATTTGAGATTGAATCATTCTCTGATTTCTGCTTTCTGTTCATTCTTGCGATTTCCTTATATGATGGCAAGACGAAAAGCTTTCCTTTGGCTTTAGTATTGTATGTCTGGTTTTTATTCTTTGTTTGTGAATCATATTCAGAACAAAAACTGTTATGAAAATAAAAGTAGATGGTTAAAAGTCAAAAGGGGTAATTTTTCTTCTTCCAATGAACTATACCGGTAGTCCACCTGGAGGAATCTGCACATAAAAATCATATTTTATATTGAGCCAAGGTTATTATTGTATCGCTATTTAAGTATTTTGATTTTTGTCTGTAATATTCTCTGGAAATCTCGCTCTGTAATGCTTCGAGTTTACCAGGAGCAGAAGTTGTACAACCGACTGACCACTGAAGACACCACAAACACTAAATCTTGAGATACATTACCTGAATCTAATCCTAATCTGAAAATTTAACCTTAAGCTTAACCCTATGTGTTGGTTATCCAATGCGCATACTTCATACTATGGGTTGGGTATCCAAAAGTTCAATGAATGATGACAAAGTGAGGACTAGTGTATTTACGCACTGAGCAACTTAAATGTGATTCCATTGATAGCGTTGAATAAAATGTAAAGGAAAGATCTATTAATCGCATTGAAATGTGTCTTTCCTTTGCATTTTATTTAACAGAATCAAGTCAACTGAATCACATTTTAGGCAGCAGTAGCACTAGAAAGTGTAGCAACTGGACTTCAGATCCTGTGAATTCATAGATGTTTGTCCTTTTTACAATCAATTTTCCTCTTTTCATTTCTGCAGGGTTGTTCCACGAACAGCATCACTATTTGCATTAAAGCCAGGTGAAAGAATTGTCTCTGAACGAAGACGAAAAAGCAGTAGGATACAGCCATGCCAGCAGTGAAAGGGGACGGGATGCGCGGCCTAGCCGTCTTCATCTCAGATATCAGGAATTGTAAGTGTTTCCCTGAATGATTCGTTCATACTGCTTTAAAGGGAGTGTAGCATGAGGAGACTACATGTATGTGTCTCCCATGGCCTGGCTCGGGACCAATCAGGTATAATACGACTATGACGCGAACGCATATTCATGTGCATGCAACATACGCAAAACTGAAGTCGTAGATCACATTAACCAGTATTTGCCATGCTACACTCCCTTTAAACTGTGACATTTGTTTAGTGTACTAAATGAATGACACTTGGGTACATACAATGTACAGTGTATGTGGAGGTGTCATGGATTAGTCACCGCACACCAGACTGTGGCTCACATGGTTCGTGGTTCGAGTCCCACCTCGGCACTACTGTCCTTTGGCAATACATTAATCCATTAATCTATGTTTACCCACTCTCCACCCAGGTGATGCAAACGGGTACCTGGCGGAAATTAATTATGCTAGTGGGTCATGATGGCAGCCATTCTAAAGCTTTGCACAATAATGGTCCTCGCATATCTGTGTGTACAAACTGTACATGTAGCTACAGGGGATATAAAAATGTGAGATGATAGTTTGAATTTAAAGAACAAATAATGTAACGACCATAGGAGATTTAACACATTTCAGCTTTTGTCAAGTAATGACAAACTTATTCTAAACCAGTGTTCTTCAGAATTTGAAAATGGGGCACAACAATTGCTACATGTACTGTACATGTACATACAAGTGCACACTGTTGTGAAATGCAGTACTATGTTGCCTGTGGTAAACCATCTTTGTTTACCACAGCTCATATGAACCAGCTGGAACTTCACTAGGTGACCTTTCTTTCACCCAGGGAAGTACACTTAATACATGGGAGATGAGAGTGGAGATTGATTTGGCTCAGTAAATGACTATAAGTAGAGCAGGAAAAAAAGGCACTGGAAATACACACACAAACATATTCCATAAATAAAATGAAGTTGAAAATTGTTGCAAAAAAGATCTTACTTGTAATGTACTTTACTGCAGCCAATCCCAGAAGGAATCAAGTTCAACAAACAAAATCAAGCCTCCTCAAATAAGCCACACAAATGGATAGTAAATGTACACTTTGTAGAAACATAAACCCAGATTTTAATGAAGCCCTACATGTAGATCATTTAAAAAGAAAGACAAAAAAGGTGAACCTAGAATCAAAACCTGACAAAATAACAACAAAAGTATAAACAAATGGACGAAGCAGCAACAATGAAGAAAAAAAGCACGGCAAAACAACAACAAGCAAACAAACAAATGTCATGTTTTTTTGTTAAAAAGAAAGTCACCCGTTTGTAATATCTGATCAGTCAGACAGTTTTAATACACCACTCGGCTAAAGCATGTAATAGATGTTGCCAGTTGAACTCAATTATCTTGTCAAGATCTATCTAGTACATGTAAATAACCTTCAAAGGTGTCAAAGTGTGTTTTTGTTGTCTCGTCCTCGCACACATTGATCATGAATTGTATACCTACTGTACAGTGTACATGTACCAGACTCAAAATGATGGGCTTTACATTTTGCGGACAAAACCTCGTTCACAGTTTTCCAAGGTTTGTTGATAACACTGTGTTTTGATGTGCTGATAAACATGCAGACAGGTTTCACGGATTATTAATACAGTATGCAATTGGATCATCAAGTTTTTGTACAGGACTCGATAGAGTGAACACACAGGGTTTTGTACAAGAACATTAAGATTTTCACCATCTTATCTTTCATTCTCAGATTATTTAAGAAAAAAAATGAATTCTACAATATATTGAATAAATTTAACCTACAGTGTATGTGGATGAAATAAAATGGAACAAAATTTGCCATTGATTTGGACATGAAATGAAAAAAAGACCCTAAACTAGCAATACAGACTTTTTTACAGAGTTGAATTATTCTTCACTGTATTGAGCACTATTTTAGAGCCTTCAATGTTTATTTTTGATTGATTTATTTTTGATTGATTTATTCTTAATAGATTCCTTAATGTAGTGGAACAAATTGAGTCATTTTTTCCCTTTCACTCTGCTCTTAATCCCCATGTAATGTACATGTTATTTATCGCATTGTGAACTATTCTGGATAAAAATAGAGAAGGTACTGTACATGTAATGCAAAAATGTCAATGAAGGTGGCACTGAACTGCTAGATGGAGGTGATATGATTTTTTGGTGTTTTTATGTGTTCACTTTTTCAGGTACATGATGTTAGAGCAAGGAAATTGAAATCAATGTAATTCATTGCATTGTGCTATATTCTAGATAAAAGAATGCAAAAATGTCATTTAAAGGTGACATTTAATTGCTATCCATGGGGGTAATCGGATGGTTTTTGTTTTCCTCTTCATTTTTCAGGTAAGAGCAAGATAGCTGAAGTCAATGTGTAATGAAATCAATATAATTAATTGCACTGTACCTTTTTTCTGGATAAAAGACAAAGCTGAATTGTCAGTTCACGGTGACATTGAACGGCTATGAAGATAATTTGACGTTTGATGTGTTTTTTGTCTTCTCTTTTTTAGGTAAGAGCAAGGAAGCTGAAATCAAGAGAATCAACAAAGAGCTGGCAAACATCCGATCAAAATTCAAAGGTAAGAGATGCAGCCTGCATGAACATGAGCATGAAGTGAATCATGGCCCTGTTTCATTAAACTTGTTATCAATAACAAGGTACAATGACTGTTAAAAGCTACTGAAATCATGGCATTTGATTGGCTGAGAGCAAAGTTGTCATAGAAATTTAGCATTTGTTATAGATAGAAAGTTTTATGAAACAGGGCCCACTCTGCTCAAGTGTACATTTACAAATTACATTAAAGGAGATGGAAAAAGCAAGACTATTAATAGAGTAAAATAGGATGAGAGAGAGAGAAAGATGGAAAAGTAGAGAGAAACGTAGAGAGAGAGAGAACAAAAATATTCAGGCAGAAGAAGAAAACAGTAGACAAGGATAGATTGTTTTTTCTGAAAAGAAACACTAACAACAAAGGTTCTTCATCATTGAATGATTAAAAAGAGATTTCTTCAGATTCATACGCTTAATTTCTCGACGCAACTGCTCAGAAAGTGTGAGTAATTTTTCAAAAGCGAGGCCTGTAGAAACACAAGCATCACGACGATGAGAGAGAAGGTATGTCTTCATCATCTCGAGATTGCCAAATATCCTGCTGTTTCCGTTTTGGGAAATAAGCCCGAAGTTACTGTACAAATCGCTTCTTCATCAGCTCGATACTTGAGCTCGAGATATTTTGCTCAGCGTTCGCGCATAGTGCGAGTCTTTGGGCTGGTGAAGAAGCACTGGACAAATGGCGGGATATTTTGCAAACTAGCACAAGATAACTTCTCGACCAAATATCCTGCTAATTGCAACTTCGGGCTGATGAAAACGCAAATTAGCTGGATAGTTTGAGATCGGGATAGTTCAAATAGTGGGATATTTGGCAATCTCGAGCTAGTGAAGACAAGCCTGATGAGAGAGAGTTGCCAGTATCTCCTCATTAAATGTACAGGCATGTTTGGAAGTGGGGCAAGCGACATTTCATGCATACGCAACATGCATTATTCCACCTTACCTGTCAAATACAATGCAGCTGTGACGCTCTCGGATTGCCATAGAAATTACAGATTTGTTTTGCTTCATTGTGCCATCATTCTGCCTTTGTTTTGTTAGCAGATGATATGGATGGATATGTGGGCTTGTCATGAAATATCAAAATTATAATTTTTTTGTTATGACATTAAATTATCTTTCAAAGAAGATGGTTTTTATTCCATGAAGATAACATGAGACGCCTACCGTATATACTGCCCTTACATGAAAAAACAGCATACATGTAACTGACCTTTTTGCAAAATTGAGTTATTTAGTGTGGGTGACTCAGTCAGTACATCAAGTTACACATGTTAAACTAAAATTTAGGGTTTAAAAATACTATAATTACCTATTTTGATAAGTCAACACTAAATAAAAACATTAAAACACTTTAATAGCAAATTGAAATGCATGTTTCTTCCTATATCTCAGAAACACTAAAATGTCAGTTTTGCTGTTTTTTGTGAAAGGGCAGTATAGAATGATCGTCCATGTGCATGTTATTGAAGGGGTATGACACCCAGTATTCAGTTTGCTTTGAAAGGACTAGACTCAATTGTTTTGTTTTACGTCAGAAACTGCACGATTTGATGCTGGAAAGTTAATCATGCTGTTTATAAAAGTGACACACCCATCTACAACACTGTACATGCAGTTCAACGTTTCATCCTTATAAAAGAACAGTGAGGTTGTTTTCGAATGAACATTTTGAGTACATGTACATGTACACTGTACACTTTGGCTTCAGACAATTTCTCATCGGGAGCTCTTGTGAATGTCCCAGAAGCCCTCCAAGTTGTACATTTGTTGGCCTTGTATTATTATTCTTTAGCATAATTATTATTCAGATTTTTGTTGTTGTTGTTATTGTTATTTTTGAAATTGCCTCAACTTAATTTTTTTGGAAGTCTTTGCCATCTTTCCTATGATAATCCCAATCCTGATGATTTCCTGATTATTTTGGATTTTTTCAACTCCAAAGATAGATAGTCCATGATATCGATGTAAATCCGGTTTAAAATTAGGGGGGTGAGGACTCAGTGCCGTCTTGTCCTGACTTGCTTGAACGCCTCGCGCAAGCCTTTTCAAACAAAACTCTCACTAAAACCTTTTTTCTTCAAACTCTCACTATCACCTCTGGATACTGTCTATGAACCAAGTAGTGCACATTCTTTCGCATTTTAGTCACGTCTTGTAGTGACTGCTGATGAAGATGGGGCTGGGTGTATATTTACACTCCCCTCCAAACCGGCGGACTTGCTAAAACTCTTCCAATATTTACATGATCTGTCTTCTTTCTGACTTGAGTAATTGTCTGGGAAGGAAAATAGACTGGTATCTATAGACAAGCGAAAGGGGAGGAGTAAAACTACTATTTATCGTAATAAAACGTCCATTTGTCAAATGTGCCACATGGATACAAGTTAAAGCAGCCTCATGTCTGATGGTTCACCCAAGACTGGATTTTGAATAAATAAGTTCAAATTTAAAGGATATGTGAAATTTGTCATGTTCTAATCCATCTGAGCAAGAATTAGAAAGATGTAACAAACCAAACCCCACCCCCTCCCCCCCTCCCCCCAAAGTTTCCATTTCTCCTAAAAAATTATTTTGTTATTGTCTTTGATACACTTTCTATCTGTATTCATCCATACTGGTGTCTTTTGTAAATTTACCCAGAAAAACTTATGGAACAGGGAGGCATGGGAGTGGTAAATAAATAACCTGACGATTAAATTACCTATCATGTCTTTGAATGCACAAGATGACCCTTCCTTTGAACTTTGAACTTTGAACTTTGAACTCTCACTGTCGGTTTACATGTATCTAGCATTGGAAATACCTATTTGAGCCTATTTCATTATCACCTGCTGGTGACTTGAACTGCACCTTTAATGTACTTCCACAGAAGTCAAGACAACAACGTACATCGTGTTTGTAATTCTATAGTCAGAAGAGAGCCAGAACGACATTAACTCTGTGTGAAAGTATATGAGTTTAATAACGCCCTTCTGGCTCCGAATGGGCAATATTTGGAAGGAAATGAGACGGATGCAATGATTAAAAACCCGTCTCTCGTGGGAGAGCGGAATGGTGTTAGCGTCACGCGGCACCGTCGTCAAGCGGGACACGACTCGGCCATTGATCTGCCGAGAGCATCAATGAGGCCTGTCTTCATCATCTCAAGATTGCCAAATAGCCTGTTGTTTCTGATTTGGGAAATAATCCTGAAGTTACAAATCACGTCTTCATCAGCTCGAGATGAAACTCGAGCTCGAGAAATTAGCTCAAGATGTTTTGCTCAGCTGCGCGTCTTTCGGCTGGTGAAGTCGCACCGGACAAATAGCGTGATATTTTGCAAACTAGCCCAAGATACCTTGGGATGATTATCTAGACCAAATATCCAGCTAATGCAACTTCGGGTTGATGAAGACGCAAATTAACTGGATAATTTGCGATCGGGATAGTTCAATTAGCGGGATATTTGGCAATCTCGAGCTGATGTAGACGGGCCTGATGAGAGAGCACCGCCGCCGCCGAGGAGGGTGAGAGCGCTCCTAATTGTGGGACCCCAGCTGCTCCGTGTCGGGAAGTGGCGTAAAGATCGTCGGCTGTTTCATGATTGCATTGAACTTTGACTAGTAATGTGTGTTTACAGTGCACATGGTTTCCATGAGGTGCAAATCATTATTTGATTGCAAAGTGTCTGTATTGACTATGGAGCATTCAGGGGATATAGTCACATTTGTTCTCATTTTTGCTTTAATTGCATTTCAAGTTGTACATTCTGCATGTGCATGTACAGTGTATGCAGATCATTAGTAGGTTGCAGAGTGTTGTTAGTTTTAGGATCAGGTATTAGAGGGAGTTTGTCACACTTCTTCTTTTTCTTGATTTTGTGCTTCCTATTCTTGTTGTCTTAAAGGAAAAGTCCACTCTGATATTTACATGTACAGTAGTTTGTTTTGATAGAAGCAGACAAATGAGAGAAATAGGTCAGTGCAAGTTTAAGAGCAATAACCAACTACATATCAGGGTGGACATCCCCTGTAAAGACTGGTTATGGTGTGGGAAAGCAGGATAACATTTTCATTTGCCAAAGTACACTAGTGTCACGCCAGGTTTTGAACCCACGACCTTCGCATTAACAGTCAATTATTTAAACCACTCGACTATAGGCCCGTCTCCACTATCTCGAGATTACCAAATATCCAGCTATTTGAACTATCCCGATCGCAAACTATCCTGCTAGTTTGCGTCTTCATTATACCGGAGTAGCAAATTAGCTGGATAGTTGGTCGGGATAATATCCCAAGATATCTCGGTCTAGTTTGCAAAATATCCCACTATTTCCGAACTAGCGGGATAGTTTGCGACCGTCTTCATTAGACCGAATTACAGAGTCAAATATCCCAATCCCATCATGCACAACGATTTCCAGTTTCCCATGTTTACTAGTTGTACTAGCGCGCTGGGCGGTATAGATCGCATGTGCGCGCGCTAGTACATGTACAACTAGTAAACACGGAAAACCGGAAATCGTTGTGCATGATGGGATCGGGATATTTGACTCTGTTGTTCGGTCTAATGAAGACGGTCGCAAACTATCCTGCTAGTTCAGAAATAGTGGGAAATTTTGCAAACTAGACCGAGATATCTTGGGATATTATCCCGACCAACTAAGCAACTAATTTGCTACTTCGGTCTAATGAAGACGCAAACTAGCAGGATAGTTTGCGATCGGGATAGTTCAAATAGCTGGATATTTGGCAATCTCGAGATAGTGAAGACATGCCTTATGAATATTTTGGTACCGTAACTTGTTATCCGACATGTATTGTACATTCAAAACAAGCAATGAAATCTCTAATGACTTGGACAAGAGTAGTTTATAGTTTTCCCTTCACTATTTGTCCAGAGATACACAATCTTAAAAACTATTCCTTTTATGGCCTTAACAAAAGAGAAAAAGAGACTGAGCCAAAGAGAAAGAAAGCC